TGTCCAATACCGTTGAAATAAAACACATTTCCTCAAAACTAAACGAAATTAGTAATGTTGCTACAGCTTAAAGACCTAATCCACCTTTTGTTGATTGGATTCGTATTGCCTATAAATATTATCACAACGAGTGATAGACGATAATCAATTGTAAATGGCGCATCGACCTTATTTCCGTAGGTAGTTTGTTAGTCATGGTAAATTTTAGAAATACACACAATACAAATTTCGAGATATCGATTGACATCAAACTGATCTTAGTCCACGTTAATTTATATTTCCTCTTTCCACAAAATAATTCTCAAATCGTTCAAACAAAGGCTGTAGGTATTCCGGTAAACTAAGATGAACCTATCGACCGAATCAATTGTTCTGTCAATATGACTGTACAATCAAGATAGTTAGATTATTAAATTAAAACGAAATAGAAAAAAAATAAGTTTTTTACAGATAAAACAAACTATTATTCAATATATTATATTAGAAAATATTTAAAAACTGTGTTTTTTGCCATTTGAAAATGCTTCTTACAGGTATCTTTAGCATGTTAACAATGTTAAACTAAACGTCAAAACCAAAATGTAATTATTAATATAAATTATAAATAAATTGATAGTAATTTATTGATTATTTTTATATTTTTTCGTTGTTGCTAATTTTTGATATCCAAATTTCCTAGGAAATAAACTAATATTGTAATTTCACTGATTAAACGTTTTAATTACTTCACCGTAGTGCTGCATAAAGGTAAGTAAATCAAACGACTTTTAAAAACAAATTTAGATTAAACTTAATAAAGTTTAATCTAATCACATATAATAAGTTTCAAACGATTTGTTTTAAATAGTTGTAGTGTTTATTAAATCATTTTTAATTAAAGAGTCTAAAGATAAAATTGAAATTCATAGCTTTTAAACTTTACGAAGAATAAAATAACGACTAGGAAATTATTATTCAAGCTAACCTATTTTGAAAACATAAATATTAATTCTTTTTTAAAACATGTACTTCAAGAGCGAATGTGTTTTTTTTCAATTTCTAATGAAAAATCTCTATATAATATTTAACATTTTATTATTATTTATCGCTATGTCAGTGAATAATAACGTTTATACTTACCGTGTACTCACTTTATTTAAAAAAAAATTTATTACGTGATAAACATTTTCATATTTTGTCGAAACTGAAAAAATCACAATAAACATGAATGTTCGGCATTAATGATCCTTTGATTGGTCTTATAATTTAACGCTGTTATAGTGCACTTTTTTTACAACAAACATTTGTCACATAGCTATATCATTATTACTGGAAAGAGAAATGGGGCGAAGCTTCCTCGATATTTTAACAGGAAATAAATAGTGATTTACTCGTATCTGTCAACGTTATTGCGTAACGGTGTTTGTTGCGCGTCCGACTAAAAAAAAAAATATATGTAATAAAAATTCGAAATGTGTGTACAAACATTTCGAATAGAAATAAATAGTGGACGATTGGACGGAAATATTATTAACTCTGAACTCGAACAAGGTATGACGATATATCATATAATACAGTATTCATGTACAACGCCAGCTGCACCCACTGCAGTACACAAAATCGTCTAATTATTTAATTTTAGTGTCTGATAATAGTATAATGGGTTATGGGGAGGATAAAATATTGTCGTTATTGAACACTATATGTTTGACAATATTTGAGCTCGGCGCCGTAACATTATTATGACCGTACCGACTGTGTGCAAAAGATTCGAAAATCGTAAATAGCGATGCCCAGTATTACCTCCATGGAGCTACCCTGTGTTATTATGATGGCACTTCTTGCCTTTCTCCGACGCCTAATACTCTATCGGAGAGTCTTTGACGGAATCGGTTAAACTTGCACACCCGACCTTTCGGTTTAACGGACTTACTTGAGCATCCGTCGATCCTTTTCGCCCTGCCAACCATACCCGTCTTCGTGCTCCACGTGTGCACACTCCATCACGACGTTTAATCACGTGACTCCGTCAGCTTCGAATATTGTCGAGTCGCGTGCACCTGTCTACCTTTTTGGTTACAGTACTGCCCTGACACACACGACGAATGTATGACGTCATTTGGTAATTGTGTGGTGTTCGTGCCTTTGTGCAGGTCTCAAAGTCAAAAACAGTAAGTGGCCCGATAGAATAGTTGTTGTATAATAGTGTTTAGTTTAGATTAAGTTTTACCGTTTAGCGCTTGTTGTTCACTCCGAAAACTCCCGATTAAATTACGAAAAATGTATGATGGAATAATAGTATTAATTGTACTGGATTTAGAAGTATAATAAGTATAATCGATATTCCGTGGTTAGGTAATAACATTCGGGTTCGATTCCGTTCAAACATATTATTATGTTATGTTGCCGACCCATAGAACAACAATATTGACCGTAGTGCAACGTCGACGAGCATTGAGATTTTTATTTAATAATACTATTTAAGTTCGGAATAGTAGCACTTTTTTATCGTAGAGTTAAAATGGATATATTTAAATAGAACTCAAGTTCAAAAATAAGGCAAAGTTGTACCAGCGTAATTTTTCCAAATCATAAAGATAAAACTGTCAACTAGAGAGGCGTGCAAATGCTCAGTGGTAAAATACATTTGGAAGTATAGTTTCCTCGGTGCAGGCTTTATTTTATAATATGGTTTAATCACTTCCCGGCTGGCTAGACAATCGGAATTATTAATCTGCGTGATAATTATCCATTAAGGTGTAGTGCAGCCCAAGATCGTATTTATTTCCCATAAATTACCTCTCATAATTATCATAATGAAAAAAAAAAAACAATTTTTACCCCGTGAGGGCTATCTCGGTAATTATTGTAATATATTTACCTTAACTACAAAACACCCTTGTATAATACGTATTTTACACTAACAGTTTCTATGCGATCTTGATAAGTATTATTGCTATTGTTAATGTAAACACATGCGAAGTACCACCCCATGAGTAATAAACTGCTGATACAGCAGTGTAGAAGATTTACTAGGTTTATTGTTCTAGATCTAGAATCTAGTTGATTCAATAATGATGCCCCTGGTCATATTAATTTCCTAAATTCACTATTAATGCCCCACGTGGATCTTACCCTTTTTCATTCGCTTATTCGCGAGTGTCACACCTACATTGTCGTGATTATTTTCATGGCAGACGTCGCGTCTCATGGGTGGATGATATACTGATTATAAGCGATCGACACTGCAAGAGGGCGATGGACTTTTGCCCGTACAACTTTTGGATGGGGTGAATATGCGACCTCTGGAATGTTTCCGTATTCCGGCTACAAACAGCGATATCGCATTATGGGTACACCTAATCTCCGGCCGTGTCTGCTCAGCTCTATATATCTACCATCAGCTGCAAATGAATATTCTGTTGAGTCTCGTACTCTCGTCCACTATAGGCGTGTACAAGGTGATTCACAGAGCATGTTCGCCGCTGTTCTGACCTCATATACCTACTGCATTTATTCAAATATTTTCATCTTTTAAATGTTTTTGAACGGATCGTATTTTAAAATCCTTGAAACGCCTACCGCTCAAACAGTGTTGAAACAAATGTTCTCAAACAAATGGAAAACTTTTAAAAATTGTTGTTTAGAAATTTAGATTTAAAATCCTCATAGAGTGTATGTCTTAACATATTATACAGTGGACTATAATTATCCCCAAAACGCCAATTTGTACGTTTAACTTGTTTACATTTTGATTTACACATCGCCATTTTCAACAAAAAATCATCCGGTAAACAATTTACAACAAGAGGAGATGGTTCTCATTTGAAAAATAAATTTGTGTCACACGTCAGACGGCATAACGATTGTTTTAAAATGTGGTCACTGGTTAGACTAAAAAAAATTCCGAAATTCAGAATTAGAATAAAATATTATGGATTGTTAAAGATGCACAAGAATTGCTAGTAAATCATCCTGCAGTATACCTGTAGCCAAACGTCATTAGCATTCATAGCTATGTCGTTGGCGCGACGTGAGTACATTTCTTCTCTCCGATTTGTGTGTGATTGCCCATAATGCAAACGCCAATGTGAATATATATATATATATATGTATATTTGAATAAGGCTGTAGCTGTAATCTCAACGTCTTCAGACACAGGCAGACGCCTGTTATTTAGACTTTTTCCTCCCTTGGGCGACACAGAGCCGAGCAGCTCCACGTCCGCTGCCATAACAAATTGTCGTGTTATTATTATTTTTTGCGCACGGCGGAATCGTACATTTAAAAACAACTGTCTTTCTATGCTTTTTTTTTTTTGTAAGTTCGTGTACGAAAAAAATAGTTTAATCAATTTAAAATGTAAATACGCTGGGCCATTTACGATTTGCCGTGCTTTTAAAACGTCTATTAAGGGCAATCCTTGCTCCCTTGAATTTTACTCTGGAAACAAATCTGCGAGTCCTACGACTGCAGTTTATGACAAAAACGCTGTCATACTGCAGTTGGACCGGTCTGTCTATGTTACAACGCAGAGTGATAGAACTCAACCGCCGTGTAAGCCAAAGCTGATGGGTACTCTGCTATAGCTGAATTGGATAATATATAGTGCCAACTGCAAACCTTATACCGGTGGAACTTTATATCATATTATATAATTTAATACGGCGAGATGAACAATAAAATGCAGTCATACGCGTATGCGGTGATAATGAGGACCACTATAGTAGTGTAATATAAAAATGATGATATTGTATAAAATCAGCTGCCTATTGTTGTTCAACCCATTGTGTTCAACATAATAACAACGACGTTTTTTACCTGCATAAATAAAAAATCAATTAGTTAGACTATTGGTGACTGTGGAATGCACAGCACGTATAATGTACCTGTACCTGCTATAATGTGCTGTAAATTGGGGCGTTACCACAAGCAGTAAATCATTTATGAATGTTATTATTACACGTTTCGATAGTTTAAAAGGACATATGATAACACCGATCGATCAATTTATTTTTCAGATGAAATCATGTTTTCCACTTCTGGTTATCACGCTCACGACAGTGGCAGCGACGCCTTGTATTTTCAACAGCATGTGTACATGCAAGACAGACGAAGCTTTAAGAATGCACATCGCATGCGTTGCAGTTCCTTTGTACACAATTCCAGGTAATTGGAAATATGCATATCCAATCCATAACTTTGGTAAAAAATAATTATAAGTTACTAATCTATGCGATTTTCACCGAGAACGTAAAACACCTATGTACGCATATGTTATAGTATTTGTTTTCGAATACAATATATAATGGAATAAATTTAAATGATTGAAATATGGCTTTACAATAACTAAATAGTGGTGTTGGAATCGAAATGGCACAAAACTATGTAATTAAATTGATTTTTTTATTATTTGTATTTCATAAACTATTCTAGTTTTATTTTATTTTAATAAAACTTACTAAGGTATAAACACGATGCGCGACACTATTTTATTATTTATTATTTTTTTAAAGTTTAAAATCAAATATTTAAAAAAAAATCATAATTATACATGTAATTAGAATCAATAATCCGCTACCTATCAGCTGTATAGTGATTTAAATACATTTTCTAAAATTCTCTAGTATACTAAATAAAAAAGTGTAGTTTTTTTATATTCATTGATCTTTACATTATGAAAGCATGCCTATCGATGATTTAAATGATACAAGCTAAATTTTATTTTTATAGAAGTAGCAACTGGTACTCGGATAAGTCACATGGATGTCATGTCATCTGAAATCGAGGCTGTCGACAATGATATATTACAAGGAACACACATCGAATCTCTAAGGTTGATGAGCAATAGAATCGGAATAATTTCTGAAAGGGCCTTCGCGTAAGTCTTAACTATTTAATATAATAACAAATATTAACCATTTAATGTAAATATATTACACGATTAAATAATATAAGCGTTTGATATTCATAACCGTTTCGAGTTTTGACTAAGTACAAAAAAAATTAATTTAGGTTCTTTTAACGAAAGTGTCATCACTGGCGAGCTTCTTTCCTCAAATTATTAGGCTCGTTTGCTATTGTTTTCTTTTGCCGATTGGCCAGATATACTTATAATGTATACGATATAGATTTTAATAATTTCAATAATATCTATGTCATTATATTTCTCGTAAGTAATTCATACCCTGAAATTAAAAAATATATAAAAGCACAGTTTTTGTGTAGACATTTGAAGTTCAATTTTCGATGAAGTTAGATGTTTAAATGAAAATAACAATTTCAGTTATTTTGCAATAATTTAAAAATATATATCTCCAGTGGAAATGAAACTTTTATTTAACTTTTATTTAAGTATATTATTATATTTTGTACACACAATGGCATTTTTGAATGCGATCTTTTCGGAAAAATTAATTCAACCTTCCTCATTATTAAAGTGATAAAATAAATTACTCTGATGGCAATATGAATGCAATATTAATTGACGGTCTGTCTTTTCTCTAAATCATTTTCAGTACCTCATTTTTGGTCTATCATAGAAATCAAATTTAACACATACATTTACTATTTCTGGGTGATTTACCAAAAGACAAGTTACATTCGACACCTATGACCTATCCACTGTATAGGTGTAGAATTAGGGAAGCAATAGGCTATGGGCCCCCCTCCCAGAATTCTATTAAGCTCCCTCAGAATTCGGTTTAGCCCCTGTGTACAAATTTACTATTCTCTACTACATGAGAACTGAAACATATAATAATACATTTATGTTTTCATTATAATTATTATAAGCTATAGCACCTTTGCCGTAGTAATTCGCAAGAAGTTTTGGCTGAAGCGTAATCGATGTCACGAGGACAAAAAAAAAGCTTTAGCCCTCTCAGTACCCTCCCCATATAATTTCATGCCTTTGATCAACCGTATAGCAGAGACGTTATATACCCCCTCCCCCTCATATTTTTTTCGATTAATTAAAAAAGAGTAATTTCAACTTTCGACCCTTCAAAAAACAAACTAGATCCAAATTTCTAACAGAACAAAATTGACGATCGCATAATATTTTCTACTACAAAAACATTACACTAAATATGTTTTTAAACACAAAAATTAAATATTAAAAAACACATACATCATGGTAATATCAATACATTCGTTTCTCCACTCAGAATTTAAAATAATATGAACATAAAATTGTAATGTTAGTTTATTATGCCCAAAATATAGAGATTATACATTATACATTTTGTAAAGTTAAGTCACTTATTAGCTTATGAAGTTATTAGCATTTCTGCACAAATGATAATATTATGGCATATTAAACCATTTATGTTTGCCAAACTTAACTGTAGTCCTACAATCTGCTGTCATTCATCTTATGCATTACATTAGTCTTAATAATATTAAACGTTATATAGTTTTATTTGCAAACATCTCGACAAGTCTTTCCTTGTTAATCACTACTACAAAGCTATTACCTTTCGTTTTCGTTACTAATTTTGTAGAGAAAAGCTTTAAACTATTTTAGTAGTAAATAATGTTAGTTAAACCTCACATTGTTAATTAACCCAAGTTTAGTTTTTATTTTTTTTCAACACAATAGTTTCAAGTGTTTTAACGTTAATTTTATTGATGAATCATTATAGTAATTTCATCAATTAAATAACAAATTCATATTAATGTACATTTTTCATTTCAAATGTATTGCATATTTAATTTAAATTATGAAATTAATTTGTAAATTAATATTTCTTGATGAATTACTATTTAGGTTACATGATTTTACTTAACACATAATATCTAATTTCTTTACGTAATTCAAGATAGTTTCTGTAACCGCTGTAATATTAGAAGTGGTATTATCATTAACATATTACTATATTAGACGCTTTGCATAATATTATTAAAAGGTATTATAAATTCATTAACGTTTTGATGTAGTGCCATTGTTTCTACAATAATCAGAAACAAGACATTTGCATTGTTTTATTCTGATATACCTTAGTAGTATTAAATCATCAGGTGCCCTCTTATAATAGCTAAAACAGGATACTTAACCCAAGTTCAAAACATTTGCATTGTATTTTTAAAATATTTAGGGATGCAAGAACTAATATTTAAACACGAAAAATGTTTTCAACTTTCTCGGATTCTAAAAACTGTACAAATGTTGTAATCGTATTGTTTTAAAAATTGTAAGAAATTATAAGAATGGGCGTGTTAAATTTTAATTCAATGATACAACATTGCTAACGAAAAACGATTATGATTGAGGAATACATGTCAGCCTCTACTTCTTAGGATATTTTAGAATTTATTTATATTTAAAGTATTATTTATTTCCAAAAGAAATTAATTTTTCTATTAGTTATACGGTGGGTATGACAGCCACACTTTACATCAGCATAATCTGTCGTGGGAAGAGGTGTACAGAAAAATATATATTCCAAATATCATATTTGACATAAAAAATTTCTAAGATTTGATGCATTGTAAAAGTATAATTATTTAAAAACACAAATTGGGTCACATTGATTATTTTTACCCTATAGCTGGAACTATAATTAATATATATTGAAAAATAGAACTTTAACCGTTCGTTGTAAATTATACACTGTAATTTATCAAGCATGATCACCCGATTTTTTTATTTAATAATACATTTATTTAAAATTTGATTTTTGGAAATTTTAAGTTTACTTTAAGGCGTATTTTTAAATTCTTAATATTTTTTGTACTACCTAAAGAGTGTCCTGTAGAGGTAACGAACTTTTGTTTTTCACATGAAAACCCTTTTTTCTAACTGTAATTTATTCAGTGAATAGTTTTTACAAACAATTCGACGTATCAGAATCAAAATTAGTAACAGTAGTTTTTGAGTTTTTAACTTTACTAATTGCACTAAAATAATCTAGAATAATAATTATAAACATATTTTATACAATCATATTATGTAATATACTCTATGTAACCTGCCTATATATTTATGAGGAATGCTCTAAGTTTCCCAACCATATGTATGATATTAATAGTTGTTTTCGTTCTAAGTCGAGTTAAATATCATATAATTATCAAGCATGTTATCTTTCATGGTAATTAGCAGATTACGATTTACAAACTTATGTATACTGAATTGGTTTTATAAATCTTAGATACACTTTTATATTATGAGGGGTCCTAGTTGAACCTCCCACATATATCAAGCTATTAGCCCCACCTATATTAGTTTTAGAATTGTTTGTATTTTTTTTTTTTTAGTGTTCGCCTCTTTTTTGAGCACCGAAATTCAGATTCTAGTAGCTAATAGGATATTGTAGGTACTTCTTTTGATTTGAAAAGTGGAAATTCAAAGTAGGTTCAAAGTAAGGTATTCAAAATAATCGAGATAAGAAATAAAGTTTCTGCGTAAAACCTAGATTTTGAATTTTTGTAATTAAAAATGAATAAAGTTACTTATATACAGCACTAAATATTTATATAATTTTTTATATTTTATTCAATTTTAAAAATATTTTAGTTTTATTTTTTCAATTTATGTACGACGACATTCTTGATTTGAATAAAAGCTAGAAAACTTAATACAATGTTCTTGGCCCCACGGTTCTACTTCAAGTTTTTTTAAGGGTATGTGAAGCGTATCATTTTTTTCATTGTTTGATTGAGTATTGTTATACTAACTCGGCGTCACAGGGCTCATACATTTATTATGGGTATGTTTATTAACATGATGCAACGTATATTTAACGTGTCAGTTAGTCAAAGAGCTGAGAGATTACAACTAACATACATCGCAAATTCGCAAATATTATACTTAGTTCCAAAATGACAATAAAAACTATTTTAGTGAGCTTCTGCTATCAGGTCAAATCGATCTAAGTATTATTATTGATCAGTCCAATAAAATTGGAATTGGGTTCTCATGAATGGCACAAATGAACAATATAAAGTTATCACTTTCATTTTTTTGTAGTCTAGACGAATTTAAATCTACTTTATTCTTTAGACTATACATGTGTTTTTTTAAACTTAAATATTAGATTATTTTACATAGTTTTTAAAGTCCATTTAAAGCTGATTTTACACGATTGCAGCTCTTGCCCTGTGTTATCATGTTTGGATAACATTTACTAGTAAAAATAAGCTCCCTCTACGATTAATTTTGTTTACATAACTATAATATATACAATTCAAACTTTGAACATTTAAGCACGACGCATATATTTTAAAGAATATAACTAATTTAATAGTAGGCTTGTTTAAATAATGTTAGTTACCACTAAAATATTGAACTCAGCTGAATAATCAGTTTGTCATTAAAAATAAACGTGGAAAAATTCTTATTAGTAAATCACTTCTACAGTCTGCAATGTTTAATTATATTAATGTATACTTAAGCGTAAAGATAATGATTAACAATACACAAGTATTGTCCGAAATATAGAAATATGTTTCTGCTATCATTAAAATTAAAACATATTTTATACAAATACTTTTAACACAGACACAGCCATATTCTAAGACTTTTACGCCGGGTACAAACAGGTTATTTTTCAGTTTTTCCATTAGTTTATTAGCCATCTATCTTTATCTCGTATTCAGTAAAGTTTTTATTTTGTTTTAACAAAATTCCTTCTGAGGATAATGAAACATTATTTTTAATAAGGTTTTTTTTCTTATTAAATTTCCTTATAGAGTTATGACAATTAAAAAATGTTTGTAGGTACTTCTAAAAAAGTTCTATTCAATTTTTTTTTTACAATATTAAAAAGTTACAAAAATCGGCGAGAATGGCATTTGTAATTATTTTTGCCATAGATAATTATTTGTATAAATCTGTAGTTATGTGATAACTCCTAATAAAGAATATTGTTATTTTTAATTATAAAAAATACACTCGTAAATATTATATTTGTATAATCAATGATTACAGGTCATCCGGATCAGTTCTTAGAGCCCTGGACCTCAGTTACAACCAATTGGATAAAGTGCCACTTAAATCATTTTCCAATATAAAAAATTTGGATTGGCTTAATTTACATGGGTGATTATTTTATATTTTTTAATTATTTACATTAAATACTTGAATATCATTTACGCAAATTAACAAACAATTTAATTAATTACTATAACATGTTGTGAATTACAGTAACAACATAGAAGTTGTGGAAACGCACTGGAATCATTTGCAAGATACGTTACAACATTTATTTATTGGCGAAAATGATTTAATATCATTTCCTGAACACTTTTCAAAACTACGAACTTTATCTACACTAAATCTAGATAATAATTTAATTACATCTATTCCATCTAATATTAGAACTCCTCCAACGCTTGAAACATTAAGCATATCAAATAATTTTCTACAAGAGTTTCCATTGTCACTATTAGAAACTGGAACTGCATTAAACAGATTATACATTCGAGACAATTATATAGAAAATATGACAAAAATAATTCCAAATAGATTTGTTAAGCTAGATGTTTTAGATTTTGGTATGAACCGATTAGACAGTTGGTCAGGTCGAATGTTCGGTGGTCGTTCAGAAGTACGAAATTTACACTTAGATATGAATCGATTAGAGTCCCTGGATGCTAATGCATTTGATGGATTGCGGTCAGTTCGGATGTATCTGTCATACAATAAGTTAAAAAATTTGAACCACAAAACATTTGAAGGCCTTGAAAGAATATTGGAGTATTTGGACTTGGAACATAATAATTTAGGAATAATACCTACAGCGATAAAAACATTAAAAAATTTAAAATTTTTGTATTTATCGTCAAATGATCTCAATAAATTAGATTCAGCAGATTTCACAGGCGTGTCATCAAGCTTGAGATCACTTTCGCTATCTGGAAATCTCCTTACAGAAATTCCAAGCAATGCATTAATGAACTGCACTAAGCTATCTCATTTAAATTTAGGATACAATCTCATCAGAGAAATAAAAGAAAACGACTTTGGAGAATGGGCCACACACCTTGATACATTACTACTGATGAACAACAAGTTAAAAGAACTCATCGGAAGACCTTTCAAGAATACTAAAGCTCTTCGGGAATTAAGTTTATCTTTTAATAATATTCATTACGTAGATGCCGACGTATTTTTAGATTTAGCTACATCACTAGAAAGTTTAGAAATTAGTTTCGGTGTTTACTATGACAACTTTCCAGTTAAAATACTTAGACATCTCAAGTCTTTGTTGTGGTTAGTACTTGATAATAACGATATTTCATCTGTGCCATTTGATTCATTGCATTCATTAGATAGTCTTCAATATTTGAACTTGGAATCTAATAGGATATCTGTGTTGGCTCCCAGGACATTTAGCTCACCAAACCAAACTGATCTTCGGGAAGTAAGACTGAATCAAAATTATTTAATGTCCCTAGAACCAAATACATTTTCCAATCTACAGCAACTACAGACAATTACTATATCTAGGAACAAAATTATTGAAGTTATGTCACATTCTTTTAAAGAACTTCCAAGGCTACTCAATATTGACTTATCATTTAATCAAATTGAATACATTCAGCCATCGGCATTTGACAGTTTACCAAATTTTAAACGTCTTGATTTGCAAGGAAATCAATTGAAGGAATTGCGAATGAAGTCATTTGTAAATTGCACTAATTCAAAAACGCCTTTGTCCTTAAACGTATCCAACAATTGTATTGAAAGAACGCCGATTGACGATTCATTGACGCCCGTTCACATCAAGATATTAGACTTAAGTCATAATAGTTTACAAGATTTACCTTTTAAATTGTTGTATTTCATATCTAGCTCACTTAGAAACTTATATTTAGATCATAATCGGATAACCAAAATATATAACTCCGAGTTTGTAAATTTAACGAACTTGGAAGTACTCTCAATCACCGAAAATGGTATGACATCAATAGCGTCAAAAGCATTTAGTAATTTAACTTCTTTACAAATACTATATTTATCTGGTAACAAGATACAACAATTATCGTCCGAACAGTTTGCAACATTACCAAAACTTAGAGTATTATCTTTAGCCCGAAATCGACTAAGCACATTAAGTTGGGATGTATTATCAGGAACGCCATTAGATTATATTGATCTATCCAATAATGAATTACTCGCAGTACCGGCTGGTGTATTATTGAAAACTGGCTCAACTCTAAGACATCTTTTATTGGCTGGTAATCGGATAGATCATGTTGATGGGACAACGTTTTTTGATGTGCCCAGATTAGCCAATTTAAGTTTGGCAAATAACAAATTGACAATAATACCAGACAACACATTTGTTGGACTCACAAATCTTATTTCATTAGATTTGTCTTCAAATAGTCTTAGAGCAAATTTCAAAGAACTTTTCCATTATGTACAAAACGTTAGGCATTTAAACCTAGAAGATACGGGGCTAATCGAAACGCCACCATTACCACTTCCCAGTTTAATTTCACTTCGACTGTCAAAAAATAAATTAGAAAAAATATCCAGATCTTCAATGGAAATGTTGACCCGGCTCAAGACATTGTTCCTAAATGACAATAAGTTAAGTTCTTCTCCGTCACACACTTGGTCATTATTACCATCATTGAAAACATTGGATCTATCTTCGAATCCTATAAAAGTAATTTTTTAATTTTAACTACCTAATTTAAACTTTTTATGGACATACTGTAAAATGTGAATACATTTTTAAGTATATATATTCAATATTGTTATGAATTGGAAAAAAAGAAGTTTCCTTGATTCCTTGATTCTTTATTTTTATATTTTTCTTTCAGACAATAACCAAAACAAGTTTTTCGGGCTTATCCCGTTTGCAACATTTACGAGTCCAAAATCTCGATTATTTAGATCGTTTTGATGTGGGATCGCTGTCCAAGTTGTCCACACTTCGGTCATTAGCTACCGATTGGCGACCCAACCTTGGACAAATCGTATGCGCAGCTGTTAAGTCAATCCGCAGACTATCGGTTCACGTGAAAGGTTCTAAACTAATGGGACCAATAGTCGACACCTGCGGTCCCAAATTAGAATCAGTGGCCATTACGGGATCGAAGTTACAATTCATTGACCGGCAGGTATTCTCAGGTCTAGAGCGTGGGGTCGGCGAACGACTAACAATCAGCATACGACACACTGCGATTGAAGATTTGCCTTCCGATCTATTGCTACCACTGGTTGGAGTACCAAAACTCGCATTGGATTTAACTGGTAACAAGCTTACATCACTCAATCCATTGACCATATATTCCAATTACACCACATGGGAAAACTCGGGGACAAATATATTGAAAGGCAAGTGTTTTCTAATTAAATATTTATTTTTAAAAAAAATATAAAAAATAAAAATTTATTTAAAATTATAATGCATATTATACGTATTATGTATGAAATCATAATTCAACGAGTTATTAACCTAAATAAAACATTGATTATATAACTTTACAAGTAATATAATATATAAAGTGTATAAAATAATAGCATATTAAATATTTTTCTACACACGTATTTTACATATTAGGGGCATTTTTTTACTCTATATAGCTTTTGAAAGGTTAGGTTCAACAAACGTTTTCCATTACCAATTGACCTATTTTAGAGAACGAGTGACAATGCTGATACTTACAATATAATATGTGTGTTATGTGATATTATACGAAGTATGAATATTATAATATAACTATTAATTTTAACGTGTGGAATAATTTGTGAAATGTTTTACATTTCGTTGTATTATATTTAATATATAATATAAATTATAATACCTATACTTACCTTAGTTATTTAATGAATGTATTCTTAAGTTCACAAAGTAAATTTTCTATTGACATACTAATAATTTAATAAATACTTGTCACATTTCACAGTATTTTACACTTCCAATAATATCAGACTTCTAAAATCTAACATGTATCCAAACATAATTTATTAAAGTTAATGACATATTTATTATTAAATGTATCTATTACGCCATAAAATACTAACAACAATTATCGTAATTTTAAATAACATTTGGATGTACCTACTTCAAAATTTATCATAATAGTTCATACCTTCTTTTTTATCAGGTGACAGTTTTATTTTTTGAGGTTTATACTGGCTTATAATTTACATTCTACATTTTAGATAATGATTTAGTTACTCATTCGTGTAAATTTATACTCTAATTTACATTTATGGTTTTGTATTCTGGCTGCATAATGAGTTCATTAAAAAAAAAGAGAAACAAAAAACAACGGCTTATATACGTTGTGTTGGGGCTGACGAGTGTAAAAAGGAATATAAAAGAAGACAGGAATACAAAGAAAACATGAGATTCGAGCAAATTGGGTGACCATAGAATTATAATATAATATGTATATAAATTTAAACAATGTCACACGCGGTTTATTTGCCGACCGGTCATTGTTCATGCCATGCAAACATAATGGTATTTTTTGTGTGTATATATGTGTCTACAGGAATAAAAAAAATTAAGAGAGGAAAAAAAGTACCAAGCACTTCGAGTATTTAGGCTGACAAGAGTGCTAGTGTGCGGAAGTTTGTGTTGTATTTTTTTTCACATTTATTTATTTATTTTTATTTTTATTTTTTTTTTGTTTCTCCTCCAGAATGGCTGTGTTCGCTACTGTGAACTGAAGTGCTGACGAAGTGCCGCTTGAAAAGAATGAGTATGTGGTGGCACTGGGGCGAGTGAGGAATAGGGGTTATATTAAAGCACATCTGTGTCGGGTAGGATATATTTTCCACCCTCCACGACATCCAACGCACGACTTTTTGTCGCACCGCGATTTTATTTTTCGGTCGCTCCTTCTTCTCTGCACTCCTCTATACACGTGTACTTATTTTTGCTTTTCCGTTTGGTCGATATAAGTGAACACAAACACACACACACACACACACACACACACAAACACAAAGAGTTGTCGAAATGACAAGTTGAAAATATGTCTTCGCCATATTATTATTATTATTGTTAAACATTTAATACTGAGAATATTATATTGTGTGAGTGTCTCTAATATCGACGTAAAAAAAATATATTATCAAAATAGTAGGTATTATAATATTCATTCCTTACTGTTAATAATTTATTTACATCGATGATGACTAGAGGCGGGGCAAATGACACATGCCCGATAACAATCACAATTTTCATTATAATCGTGCCAGTGTAACATGTGATTAAGGGGACAAACGTGTTCATCATTATTGAGGGAAATGTTGAATGTATATTTAACTAGACATTTCAATTGTGACAGTTTTATTGCACGAGCTTTTAACGGCTCAAAATAAACCAATACTTAAATCTTAAAAACATAAACCACTTGTCTTCCTAACTCTATTTCTATAACTTGTAAACCTCCCGAGTTTAGTGCATTTGATTAATTTTATTCTATTTTTATGGCTTACTCTATTTAAAAAAAAAAAAAACTTAATCGCAACCTCACAATTAAAACTATCAATATTTTAATAGTATCGTCACGAACAAAAATTTATTATTTTCTCCGAATGTAAAATGTCATTGGAATCAGAAATTAAATTTTAAGAATAATAAAATGTATAAGTCGTTTTAGTAATTTATATATGCTACGATTCATTATTTTTAATATATATTAATTTAGTAAATTAATATATTATTATACTACATAGACACATAGGATATGGACCATAGTAATACGTATTATATCATAATTTCCGAATAAATTTACACTTAAAAAAAATATATTGTTAATCTTTAATTTTTAATACACCAATAACTATTATTTTCCATGACATATAATGTTATACACGAGATGCAGCATTAAAATATTTCTCCTAGTTAACAGATTTTATACTTTGCTTACCTTACCTTTTAATAAGTTGTATTATGATTTAAGCATAGAAATAATAATTAATGATGTTTATTTTTACAATTGTTCGTACATGGATATTATTTTGTATATAACTAGGATAACATATTATAATATGATGCTTTTGAAGGATCACCGACAAATAAAAAAAAAAATTCGTCCATACTCGACCTTAAACAACAAATGTATAATTTATACAACTCAGAAGAAAAATCAGAAATACTCATCGAACAACGTTTATTTTGATTTATTAGTTTATTAAATTTGTTGGTGCTTTAAAACGATTTCAACTGACACCGTGAGTCAACGTATTCAAGTTATTTTAAACGAGATCGTTTTTATTCATCGAAAAAGCACGTAATCTTTATCAATAGAGTTACCAAAACTTTTTGAACTTACTCCATTGAAATCGTATTTATACGCTAGAAGACGTCTGAGTAGATGAGAGACACATTCGCTGAAATTTCATACCGTGCAACTACGCCATAAATTATCATAGGCCAACGAATTTAAATAATGGTTACTATTTTAAAAGCTGGAGAAATTGATTTCGAATATGCGAAGACAATAATATTGTTTTACAAACTTACGATGAAATTTTGCCTGATTTGAACTGTCTACATCAATTTTAATTACACGTAGGTTGCTTAATTATTTTCGAAAACAGAACCTATATATAGAATACAAAAAAAAATTCGATACAAGCCAGAATTCATATAATACCAGTGTACTACTTAGAAGATAACCAATTAAATCTAAGACTATACAAAAAAATACAAGTAACATTGTAACTGGAAGTGAAATAAATTAAAAACACTTTTTTTTTATTCTTTGGATTTCATCTTACTTATGCGCAAGTAATTTTATTTTTAATTTAAATTATAACAAAATATTATAATTAGTTTTGGGGGATACACACAACTAGAGTTATACACGACAACACGATTCTAAAGAATCGTCATTAAAAATGATAATAAATAAATGATAATGTAAAGGCTATAAGACACGTAGACCATCAAATGTCTCTTGTACCTTTATTTTTTTAATTCTTTTTGGAGAACGTTTGAGCGTAATGTTATAATATTAATTTTACAATTTTCTTTTTTTTATATTAACTAATAGAGTAGTTTATTTTAGAGGAACTTATTAAAAAAAAAAAAAAAAACGTAACACAACAAAAGCAAATTGAAATTGAAATAATGGGCTATAGTTTGATTCAGCAGTAGAATAACATGCGAAAGACGTGTGTAAATTCCTTAGAAACATTTCCCACCAATGCACAGCCATTATTTGAAAGCTTTCAAAATAAGTTAGTAACATCAATGTTTCTTGAGCTTAAAACGTCTACCATTATTTTTATTGCTCTTATTAATGAAGACTATAAAAAAAAAGTTTACAGACAAAATCGTATTTTTTATCAATGCATCGTTCCTGTCACGTATTGAGGCTTATCCCACGATGCTGTGATAAACATTTCACGGTAAAGAATATATTAATATATTATTATCAACAGTAAATTTATCATAATAAATCATTAGTCAAATGAGTATTTTTGAAAAGGTCAAGGTTCAATAAATCATATTAATTTAAGTTTCAAGAAGTCGTTATTTTTGTTGTGAACAAACTATAGACGGAATAGGTATTTTTATTTTTTAATAGCTTTTAGTTATTCCGTATAAAATATGCAAACATACTATTATTGTAGGAGTTGAAATATATTAATTTTAAACTAATTAAAGTTTATAAATTATAATAAATAATAACATATTATAATGATAGTTTCATTTTCAAATAAAAAACTTTTGATTTGCCTGCATTGAGTTACTATTAGTTATTATTAAATATGCATTGGTAGGTAACACAAAAATATCAGAAAATAATAAATATGACTGTAAACCAGAGAAATTTTCGTGTTAAATCCAAGTAATATATAAAATATAAATTAAAAAAATTAAAAATGTATACCTACAATGAATCTTAATATTACTTATTATTTACTTGGTAACCAATTATATAGCATCAAAAATTTAACTTCGTCAAGAGTAAGATTATATATCTAATCCATACAAATCACAAAGAAAGTATTTTTATTATGTGCAAGAATACTAGAAAAAAAATGATTCTACTTTGATAAAATTTCACAAAGAATACATGAAAAAAAACTATTTTTTTTTAAATATCCGTCCACAAGAAGTAACCAAAAAAAATATGCATATGTGAGTCCTTGGTGGTCATTGAAATAGTGCCCATAATAAATGCGTTTTATTTTTAAACCCTATAATTTTGACCATCACTCAAAACAATTTTAATTTATTAATATTAAACTAAACATTTTGATAAGCGAAAAATCATATACCTACTTGTCAGAAAAATATCTCTTGCGCTTTGATTGACAGATAAATGCAATAGTATTCCCAAACCTTGAACCTTTATAAACTTTGGACAGGGAAAAAAACTCACTAAACTGTCCGTCAGAGTGTCAATACAAATCCGTTTCATGCATACAAGTTCACTAATTAATGGATTCCATGCTGATGGTAAAGGGTTACATTTTCAGACAAATTATGTATATTGTATACAATATGTAAATGTATACATATTATACAATATAATGCGCATTATCAGCAGAATATAATATTATAATGTATCGATTCTATTATTGGTATATTGCGTTTGATAATTGATATTCAAAATAAAGTTAAATCATAATCAAAACCAACAAACTTGAACACATACAGTTTCAATAATATTATTCTGTTGACGAATGCACAACGGAATTTAATGTATGAAAATTAAACCTGTATAATAGGTGTATACATGTACTTATGTATAATACTTATGTACCTATTTATGAATAACTATATTATTGGAGGAAAAATGGAGTGATCATGATTGGCGAATCTCCCCCCTCCGTTTACATAATAATTTAAGCTCGAGAAATTATTTTATTGTAATAGGTATACAAATACTTAACAAATTTCCTTCTGACCATTATAACAATACACCAGTGTGGTATTATGTTCATAAAGGTACTTTTATTTCGTATAATAATTTTTAAAAAATACGCACAGTTAAACCGTTGATAAAAAAAAATCACTCAAGTAACCAGGTTTATGTTTTATGTAGGTACATCATAATAATTTACTTTCGTATATTCATCAAAGTGAGACATAACGTTTCAAAAAAAATATATATTTATTGTATAACTTGAAATTATATTCTTTAAGAGCGAAAACTAATCCGCTATAACATTATAATATATTAATATCACATGAAGTGTCTACATTTTTGGTCAATGATATGAAACTAATAACTTCTATGGTAAACATGATTTTTAACAATAATTGACATGTTCAAAATCCTACAACACAGTAAAACAATGCTAAGATCTGAATTAATTATAACAATTACAATGTACAATAATTATACAAAAAGTACCTTCAGGTTTTTAAACCATTTCCGTTGATTTGAATTTATAGTATCTGGTAATTGATTTTTTTATTGTATTATAAAATAATACTTGTTATGACCAACAAATAAAAAAATCCTATTAAATCCGCCGAATAACAGTAAATGTATGGTATCTGCACTTATACATCGTAAAAGCATCTATCAAGAAACTCAGTCCAATATAATATAATATTATATTAATTATAAATTTGTAATTTTAGACTGATATTCAACTAAAAATATAAAAATTGATTTGTGACTTCTAATATACCAAAATTTTGCAATGGAAATTCAAATGAAATCAAAATTGTATACTTACTCAATGTTTTGCTGCCTTCTATTCAAATTTTCGATTCAACTGTTGATATCTACATAAATAATTATTCAAATTAATAAAAATCTTATAATAACTAAAAGTTATAATTGCATGAATATTTCAAAACGAAACTTAAGCTAAAAATAGGTCCTATTCATTATTTTTAATAATATACTGGTTTTAATAAATCGTAAACAGTTTTATTGTTGTATGTTTTGAATCTGCAGGGACATTCATAATTATAATATGCATAGTGAAATGAAATATTTTTTTTTATAACAAGGTATTGTTGAAAAATCTCAAAGTTAAACCATCCAAAACTAATACAAACTTATTAAAATCCATTTACTAAGCGGTATCAAACGAGGTGTTTAATAGTTATCGTGTTTATTTATAGTGTCTTCAACAAAATCAATTACCTATATAATTTTTCACCATAAAATCGCACTTATTAAATAGTGTAATACGCAAACTTATCAGGCAAACAAATAATTATTATAGCATATAGATCGTTATTTGCAAGCAAATAATTATGAGTTTTATAGAAAAATTCAAACTCGTTAAAAACTAACTGGACGAGGTGAATAACAAACTTTTGTCGGGTCGGCGGTAATAAATGTAGAAACACGAACGTATACCGTCTATAGATGTAATATATTAACAATGGACGATTATCGCCACTTATTTATTAATCACAGATAGAAATAATTGTATTTTCAAAATAAATATTATAACTTAATATTATTTTGCGAATGAGCAGTGGTGATTTGATAACGTTCCAAACACATTTCGATCGATTGTGACACATCGTCATCAGGTCACTGATACGATTCATATTCCATACTTACCTCCGCAACACCGCTATTCACGAGGACAGCGTTTCCATGGTAAATGTTGAAAGTAATCTGATGAAAAAACTCTAAGTTGTTTACGAACGTGTGATGAAAAAAAACTAAAAATTCAAAAAGTGAAAATACATTTTCTTTTTTTCAATATGACAATTATTATTTTGTCAGAAACAAAAAAATGTCTGTACTTTTCTTTTTTAAAAGTGAATTGGAAATATCAGTCTTAAAATTAAATACCTACATTAAATGAATATAATTTTACAATGTTGGATAATGTTTTGTTCTAACAATACATTTTTAAAACGGACGGTGTTATAAAGAATCATTGTTTAGGGTTTGTTATAAAATAAGCACTATTAATCTAAACGCTTCTAATAACGTGATTACGAGGTACTTACCTTTTTGTTGTTGGATGAAAATGTTGAGCTTTAAAAATATTAATCGGTTCCGGTCTGGCTTATTTCGGCCGCACAAATCCGACCAATAATTTCAAAAAAATATTCTTTGAATTCAAATAAAAAATGAACTTATAATAGGTGTCGTCATTTAAAACATTTAAAAAACAGTATAAAAGTGTAAAAATATAACTTTTCTTTTAAAACGACTTTTGTTTTGTAACAAAACAGATGTACGAAAGAACGTTTTAAAAGGTTGTACTTTTTGAAAATATAACGATGTTCACTCCAAAATCAACCACTCCGCCATAATATTTTATCAAACTGACATCGCAGTGCGCTTACTGACTTGTTCACAGGTGGTCTGTACCTGGACGACAACCCTCTGCAGTGCGACTGCGGCCTACTGTGGCTGGGCCAGTGGCTGCGTCGGTGGCTCCGGGAGGCGGTGCAGGTGCACACCCTGGGCATGGCCGAGACGCAGCTGGCCCAGTGGACGGCCCGGCGGGCCACGTGCGCTGACCCCAGGAACGGGGGGGCCCGGGTGCCGGTGGCCGACATCTACCCGGAGGACCTGCGGTGCAAGGCGAGCGCGCTGAGCGGAAGCGGAACCGGAAACACGGCGGCCAAGACGTCGCACCTGATCGTCTGCTTGGCCCGTTCGCTGGCAGTGTTCTACCTGGTCACCGTCTGGTGCAACGTCTACTGAACGGACGAGAGACGTCGTCGACCGTTCCCGAACGCGTACTTATTTAAACTAAATGATAATATTATTATGTCACTGTGCTGTCGTATAAAATCGTGTTTCCGCTGTCATGCTGTCGTCTATTGTCGTCGTTCAGAGTCAGTGACGTCCCCTGCTAGGGAGTGGGCAAAAGGAGGACTCCCCCGCGTGGTCATTTTCATGTTATGTTTTTTTTTTTTATCTTTCTACTCGTATAGGTACTTTTTTCGACCAGCATTATGTATAGTGTATATTATTATTATATTGAGTTCAACCTTCCCCCACTCCAAGAAATTTGTCTGGGGACGCCACTGGCCCTGACTGCGCACCCCCTCGGGACTCACTGCCAGTGATGCGCGACTCGGATTGATGATAGCACGTGTGTGCGTGTGTGCTGGTATTGGGCTGTGTGTATGGCTGTGTGATTCGGGCAAATCATTTTCTAATCCATTTTTAAACGATACCTCATTTCTTCCTCCGCCGCTGAAAGATTACGCCTGCAGTCGCAGGCGAGCGCTGTCGTTGAAAAAAGAATTATTAACACTCTGTTTTATTCTCATGGTCGTCGGTCCGTGTGCAAACCGGATCGTTCCCGGCGGAGGAATAGGATTGACCACCCACCTCCCTCCCTCTTACTTGTCCCAGCGCTCCCCGCACGTACAGGGTAATGGCATTGTATTTGCATACGAGCGTGACCCACCACGACCGGCTCGCTAAAATGTGAGCTATTTTCCTAATCGAAACATACTTTCCCACCTTCACCTCCGACCATTAACACACACACACACACACACACACACACACACACACACACACACACATACATACCAAAAGTCACGTCGTCATATTCCCGATCGTATAACACGCACGGTCCACCCTCGACGAGTTTTGGTCCGAACCGAGACCCTTACTGTCCTACCGCAGCAACAGCACCGACGGAACCCCATCCCACTACATCGCCACACCACGGCTAAAATAAAATAAGGATTTCGTTTTGTTTATCGTCTGAAGAGCGCTCCTTAATGCGTACAACGTCATCGTCTTGACCACAGTCGCCTAGTGAATTCCCGAGTTTACCATTCGGGTTCGTATGGTATTATCATATTTATTCGGCATGTTCGTCTTCACATGGAAAACGCACCGGACATTTCGAATATGGCATGATATGGTACCTTCGGATTTCTAGGTATCGAAGCGTCGTATGTATTCCGAACGGTTAGTTACTATTCCATTATTGTTTTACCATTATCTATACTCATATTATAAGAATGTTATAGGTACTACAAAACCGACTATCATTATTTATTACGGTCAAAATGATATTACAAGGTTTGCGATGGTACAATATTATATTTCAATGAGATATCAATTAATTTTGATAAACGCAAATTTTTTGATTTTATGTACCAAAGTAAAAAATTAAATAAACAAAATTCCACGATCTATAGGTAATAAAAATAATAAAATATTATAAATAATAATAAAAATAAAAACTATTTTGTTTCTTTAAATATATTATATTTCGATGATACATGCCCCTTGAAGAAAGGGTATGTTTTACGGACCATAGCTCTTTTTTTCAAATAAACGCATTCATTCATTTGAATATTAAAAAACAACTCGTTATACCAGAGTAATGATTGCATCCCATACTACATGGTTGGTTGACATTTTACATGCGATTTTTATGGTTTAAAATAATGTATATAAAGGATTCCGTTGTATAATATATTGCAGTTTATTTGTAACATGCAAATGTTTGCTTTAGTTGAATTGATTAAATCGGTACATATTATTATGTGGACTGCAAAATATATGTGCCACCGTATACAAACATGAGGATGTCAGATAGATTCCGATTGAACTACGCTGGATACAATTATTTATCCATATTTTATTTCCGTCGTGGAAGCGTATAACGTGTAGGGAAGGCCCTTCCGTCTGATATTAATGAAACTGTATAGAAAAAAGTCCTTAAATAATCACAACGAGATCTAGTAGTTTTATCTACTATTTTATTTCAAACTCAAGTTAGTTACGGTCGACTAATTTGTATCTGAATAGTTTTCAGTCCTTTGACCGTATTCAAAACGAGTCATATTTTATGTAAAACAAAAAAAAACAAAATGAAAAAGGTACCTACATCTTTTTTTTATCTTGGGAGGGAACTTTTGTTATTTCATTTTTTTTTTTTAACTGAATTGAAAAAATTGTAAACCAATAGATCGACTTGAGATCATAGAAAAAATATCAACAACGATAAAGAAAAATATATATTTGTTTTGTATGTACTATGTTTATAAAATATATATATAAATATATATATAATAATAATAATTTAGTATAAGTACAATATAGATATTGTTGTTCAATGAATATTTCGTGTATACTATTCACGTGTTGTTCGAGAAGGAATAAACATATTATTTTGTTACCTAATAATTCGTGTCCTTCAATGCGCCACTTTATCCTTCCAATTATTTATATTGTATGGTAGATTTATGTATTATTTATTTTTACTTTTTAATCCAATATAAATATTTATAGTTTTTGTTGATAATATAAAATAAACCTGTATACATGTAATGCTTACAATTTAAGACAGCTTTGTTTTGTAAATAATAATAAACATGATTATTTAAATATGATAACAATATTATGTGTATTTAATTTCGACCACGTCTTTCCCGTTCTCATTCAAAAATAAAATATTCTTTAGCACTACTGAATATTTTTAAATTTTCTGAAATATAAAAGAAATTAGCAAACATTTTTTTTTTTTATTTATGTTGATAATTGGATATTTTTTTAACAACTAAATACAACGGCTTTTAGACAATTTGCGAATAACCAATTCAAAATGTTTTCACCTTGCATTATTAAAAATATAATTTTATTAAAACTTATAATGATTCAATTCAATGTTTAATACTTAATATAGTTGATATTTTAATCATCCTCGAATAATAAAATCATAGCAATCAATTAATATAAAATAACATAAAAAAAGTACCTACAAAATAAATATGACGTTATTTCATTAAAATTATTCAGTGTACCATAAACAAGTACGACTTTTCAGGAAATGGTACGTTTCAAAATATTCCAAATTTAATTTTAACTGCCTTGATCTGAATAAAAACTTTGTAGACCATTTAAGACGTATTGTCTACTTTGTAGATTTTTAAAACAGTATACTTATAAAGGTAAGTGTGTAAATATAATATATCCTTATGAAAACCCAAAAAACCATTCTATAGAGTTTTATAAAGTATCTACTCCTTACTCTGTGACCCGCCAACAAAATGTTAAAAAATCATTACAGAATCAATAAGATTCTCTGCGAAAAAAAAATAGTTTCTCAATCATTATAGGATTTTCAATCATATACGTATAGAAAAACAAAAACAATATGTTGTCCGAACATTCAATATCCCTAATGATATATTTTTTGGTGAATTTTAGGTTGACAAAAATCAAAGGCAATAACTCAAAACGTTTTACAATGGTTTCGTAAGTTTGTGGTTTAAACGAATATTTTGTTGCTATTATTATTTTGTCATTGTTATCGTTTTGTTGGGTAAATATTTATTGTATTACGTTATTTTAATGAATAAAATACTCGAATAAATTTGTTTGTTTCGAGTACAAATTTTCGAATGTACATTAGATACGATACAATTTAAATCTGATATAACACAGCGTAATTTGGTGTCAGGTTTTGGTAAACAAAGTTTTAGGTTATAATTACTTAAAGCCGTACTCCAGAAAAAATAGAAAGTTGAAAGTTTGTTGTTCTTAGACGACACATTCGTGGTTTTTCATATTGTCAGCTAACCAGTTAAATTGTATTACGACAGGAACCTTGATGCGTTTTCTATAGAATGTACGAAATTACTTAATTTTAACTTACACTGTAGGTACTTGATGTATTATGACTAGTAAATGCAAGTGAACGAGAATATGATTATTATGTTGCACACTTTTTACTTGAGTACCCACTTGATATAATTTTGTATAATATGTTTAGATTTAAAATGTGCAATATTTTTTTAACAATAGCAAACAACTTTTAATTTATATTACTTTATTATAAACGTAGGTATACGAAAAGTTTGACAGACCATAAAATTGAGACTAACGAGTTTTTCTCCTATTGAATCTTTACAGGAAAAAAATTCTATTTTATCCTAACACGGAGTGCACAATGTTATCCTGATCAAACACATAGTTTCCATTTCTCTCTCTTTCTGTAGAAAAAAATAAACAAAAACTTTCTCTTTGTCAAAAGCCAAAGCTCACAGAAAACTACCGGAGTTTACTGTGATTTCTATTTACCTTTTTTCGCTATTAACATTATTATTTACCACTGCCTCCTTTAAACGTATTCCGATAAAGCAATACACTTTATAAGTAGTCACTAGTCAATACTATACGCTGTACATAAAATACACATTTTAATAAAATAAAAACAAATAATAGAAGAATTCGGAAATTATTATTAAAATAACAGTTTATTTCGAGTTAGGTACTTCAACTATTGTTGGGCATTAGTTTTTAGTATATGTAATATGTATATTATTAATATATTATATATAATATACTTAAAATGTAAATATTTGTGTTTTAATATTTATAAGAGTTTTAAACTTAAATATTGATTTTGACAAACAACAATTTCTACCGTTACACAAGTAATGAACATGATAAACTATAAAGTATTTTCTATTTTTTTTTTCATCCAAACGGTACTTACATGTTTACTTATTTTATCTAACGTGATTACTAATTAATAACTGATCATCCCACCATTATCATGTTTTTAAAAGAAAAATAAGATTAACAATTTGATGCATTAAATCAATGCAAATGTTTTTTTCTTCTTCCTAGGATTAAATAAATCGTACATACATTTGGATAATACGAAATTCAAAAATATAACGTCAATGGAAAATTATTAAATGTAAACATTCATTTGACTGGTTTAATATTTAATTATTATATAACCAATGGAATCTTAGCTTACACTGCAAGTTATAAAATTATTTAAATTAAACATTATACAAATGAATAATAACATTCGTATTCATTAATGGTTTTTGAACAAATCAAATTTTATAGTTTCTAAAAAAACAATGTGATTTTAGTGCAGTTATTATCATTCAAATTATTCATTCAGAACTTTAAAATTTAACAGATTTTATTGTATTGTTAGAAATTCAGGAACGGCAGTTTAAAATAGTATGAACAACTCAATAAAAATTAAAAGTATCATAAATGTAATAACTACGACACACCATAAACTGTATGTTTATAAAAAACAAATAACGCTTGATTGTTTTCCTGTAAATCGGGTTCCTCTCAAAATTACTCTTTTATGGGCACGACGGTTGATCATCGTTCTAAAATAAAACGTTATGGTATAATTATACATTAATAGTTAATACTGCCCCGCAATGATGTGAGCAAAGCGAGGCGAGTGCCCTCAGTTTCAGTATCCCATCTGTAGGACGAAGGTAAATATTTTTTTATTATTTTAATTGTACGCCGTACGTAAACTAACAATGATAACGGTTTTTAATGGTTTATTGAGGTGTTAAAATGAACTCCAAAATTAATTAAGTAGATGCCTACACTACACGCTTTAGTAGTAACAAATTATAGCGAAACGATCCTAGATACATGGACAGTTGTTAATTAAATCACCCAGTATAATACCCTTATGGCCTTTCCTAAACAAAAGTCCTTTAACCTTTACGTAACATATTGGGTGTAAATCTATCACAATAAAAGTGGCTAAAATGGTTTCCAAACCGAATTGGTGGTGTGCAACTTTATCCTATGGTAAGTATAGTTAATTAAACACTAGTATAATAATTACTCTTATAACATGTCATTATAAACATTGCATAGATTATAATATTATAACACGTCCAGAGTTAATCCAACGATTGCTCCATATTATTATAATACGATATTATTCAACGAATAAAATTATTGGAAATAAATATTTACAACATTTGTAACATAATGTAAGTTTGTTTAGGACAGTTTCCTAATTAATTCGAATTCGTAATTTTGCATAATTTGTTCGTTACACAGTTTGTACACTGCGGCTACCGAATTAAATAAATATTGCAAAAAAACGAATTAATACTAAAAAATAACGCACAATGAAATTAACGATTCCAATATATTTGTACACAAATCTAAGTGAACTTTGTGACTTACAATCGAAATTTACTGTTATTAAAATACTCGATTTCGATTGACATTTATGACGATACCTGATAGCATAATTTCTATTACGTAATAGTGTAAATTAAATAATAATATGTCTGTAATGTATTACATTAAATTCAATCCGTAAAAATATTAAAACGCAACTACACATGACTAAGTAGTCGGGGGCTTCAAAAATCAGCTGGCATATAATGTTATACTCAGAGTTTTTTACATACCTACATCAACAACGACTAGAAAATATTTTACAATAGAAGGTTTAATGTAAGACAAATGGTCGTGTAACAATAGTTCGTTTTCAATTATTATTATATTTTGTTTGGAACAACTCATCACAATAATAATAATATTATCGTTGCATTTGTTGGCCTACAACTTTTATCTAATAAAATACATATTGTTATAAACCTGGAGTGCCCGTATGATCACGATTTTCTGATTCATAAAATAGATTGGTATCGTTGCAAACTGCGAAAAACACCACAAAGCATTGAGAGAGAATTTTTCGAATTTAATATGCAAACCACGGGAATAACTCTTTTATTATACTGTCCTGTTGTACACGATAGCTGTAAAATTTAAGAACGTTGTGTTATATATTTTTTTTTTTGGTCGAGAATGAAACATTTTAAACGTAAATTCATCCAATGAAACCCCTCTGACGATGAATGGCAAATGTCTACACTTGCTCATTGTCGCAAAATAAGCCCGTCACGTCAACTGTAGCCGTTTCATCTGTTGTTCCGAAACATTTCTATTCAACATCGACGACATGAAATACATTTCATTAGTGTTAAGTGTTATTGTGCCGTTTTGGCTGACACAAAATCGCAAGTTTCCAAAAACTATTCAAAAAACTAAAATTGATTTAAATAAGGTTTGACG